CAGTATAATAACTGATCAAAGATCCGTTGCATTTATGTTTGATAATAAGAGTTCATCAAAAATCAAAAATGAGAAAATATTGCGTTGGAAAATAGAATTATCATGTTACAAATTTGATATTATATACAGGCCAGGAAATCAAAACATTGTAGCTGACACACTTTCCAGGATATCTGCTGCTATTCAACCATCAACATCAGACAAAACTTTGTATAATTTACACAACGCGATGTGTCATCCTGGTGTCACAAGATTCTATCATTGGATTAGATGCAAAAATTTACCTTATTCACTAGAAGACATCAAAAGAGTTATATCCGCATGTCCGGTTTGTGCAGAGATAAAGCCGAGATTTCATAAAAACAAAGGAACTCTTATCAAAGCCATAGCACCATTCGAAAGATTAAACATTGATTTTAAAGGACCGTTACCTTCCAATAATAGAAACAAATACTTACTAGACATTGTAGATGAATATTCAAGATTTCCGTTTGCATTTCCATGTTTGGATATGTCATCTGCAACGGTAATAAACTGTTTGACTCAACTATTCTCAATGTTTGGCACACCAGGTTATATTCACAGCGATAGAGGAGCATCTTTTTATCTGCTGATGTGAAATCATTTTTAACAAGTCATGGTGTTGCCACAAGTCGTACAACTGGGTACAATCCAGAGGGAAATGGACAATGTGAAAGAATTAATGGAACAATTTGGAAAACTATTCAACTTAAGGTTAAATCTAGAAACCTTGAAGTAAAACAATGGCAAGATGTTTTAATCGATTCTCTACATTCAATAAGATCCCTTTTGTGTACTGCGACTAATTCAACACCTCATGAACGCATGTTCAACCATCCTAGAAGATCGACTAATGGTACCTCAATGCCTACTTGGTTGAGCACCCCAGGCCCAGTTTTTCTAAAGAAACATGTTAGACATAGCAAATTTGATCCACTAGTAGAAGAAGTGGATCTTCTGGAAGCAAATTCAGATTATGCTCATGTACGATTATCCAATGGTAGAGAAATGACTGTATCAACTCGTCATTTAGCACCAAGGGGAGATGTGACACTGTCAGAACAAGATCAAAATACCATAACACTACCAGAACAAGATAAGAATGAATTAACTATTTCTGAAGAAAACCTTACATCAGTCAGTTCAGAACGTTTGTCATCTTCGTTCCCTTTGAATGATTCAAATTGCTCTCTTCCCCAAAATTCTGAACAATCACACAATGAAAATCCTCCAGTGAAACCTACTGATGAATCCAGTTGTGTTTTGGTAAAGAGAAATCATAGGCCACCTTCATATCTTCAAGATTATGTCACAAAATGAGCGAGGAAGAATGTTATATATTTCATTACTTTACTATTTACTGTGTTCCCTATATTTATGTACCTGTATGTTGTATGTCATGTTGTCAGTTATTGTCAGAAAATACTGTATTGAATTTTAGCTTATTAAAGCCTTAATATTATTATCAGTCTTAATTTGATCGTACAAGTAATTACGTGGTCTTCTAGGGTTTCAGTAAATATATATTTTGATCTCTTTTGGTGAGTATTTCAGAAAGAAGGATTTTCCCGCTAACAGTTTGGTAATGGTGGTTTTGAACTTCCATATCTTCATACTCATATCAACCGATGATGGGACTGACTCTAGACAGTAGACATGGTGATTTTTCCACTCAGGCTCACAAAACTCTACATCCTGTACCTTAATATTCTCTAACCCTTACACCATTTTTTTTTCAATTATTTTCCTAATCCTGAAAATCCTATATGCCCATATCCCTTGTGCCATTTGACATAATCATTTTCACTACTTTCAACATTCATGCAGTCAACTTTCACTTAAGAAAACTCAATTTCATACAAATTCTCTCGTTTGCCTATTTCTATTACTTGTCCGTCCTTACCTACTATCTTTACTGCGGTATTTTCAATTTTCAAATATTAGTTTCATACCTGACATCTCCAGTTTCTTAACAGGCACCCATAACCGATAATGTCCTGCGACTTGCGAATCGTGGGTTTCTTTCATCATTTTCTCAATTGAACATTTTGGTACCACCTGCTGGGTTTCTTCTCCATCATGATCAGGGGAATATCAATATAAAAGTCCATTCATCATTACATAACCTCTATTACTTCATCTTTGAATTTCGGCAACACAAGTCTCTGGAGTTTCAAGACAATTTGATTATAGAAGCTCTATGTCAGGATCAGACAATTGTGGTTCTCGTATTTCCCTAAGGTCATCGGTGGGCAAGTTAACAGTTACAAAGTTATCGTGACAAATTGGGCGAGATAGTGTATCTGCTAAAACATTCTGTTTTCCTGGAACGTACTCAATTTGTAGATTGTATGATTGTAATGAGAGCGCCCATCTAGCAAGTCTTCCTGATGGGGGATTTCAACGACATTAGTCAACACAGGGGTTGGTGGTCACTCTTTACAATGACTGCAGAGGATTTCATATATCCCCGGAATTTTGAAAAGGCCCATACAAGAACCAAGGCTCTGTCGTTTTTTGGACGTCATTCAATAAACAGCTGGCATATTCAATTGGCCTTTCCTCCGGACACTCCCTCTGGAGTAAAGCTGCACCAAGGGCATATGAACTAGTATCCGTTCTGATAATGAATGGTTTTATAGGGTCAGCCTGTCGTGAAATGGGTGCGCTGGTTAACAAATACTTTAGATTAAACGCTTTTTCTTGAGTAGGTCCCCAATTCTAAATACATTTCTTCCGAGCCAATTGGTGTAGCTACATCCGCAAAGTTGAGGAAAAATTTTCGAAACCAGGAGCAGGTTTGTAAGAAACTCAGAACATGTTTCACATTGTTAGGATCACGCATGCTTACAATTGCAGCTATCGTGCCTGGACAAGGAGTGAATCCGTCTTCGCTGATCATATGACCAAGATATTTCACCTCATTGTTGCAAAAATACATTTTCCACGATTACCATGTAATTTGAGCCTTTTGAAAACCTCATCTAGTTCTTTTAGGTGCAAATGTGGATGATATAAATATCAAGTCATCTAAATACGCCAACATGCGATGTGGTAACCCTGAGCGAAATCTTCCAACGATCCTTTGGAAGGTTGCCGGTGCTGTTCTCAATCCAAAAGGCATAGTATTGTTTCGTATAGAAAAGTACCAAAAGGAGTAATAAAAGAAGTCTTACCTCGGTCTTCCTTCTTCACTGGTATCTGATGCTAACCACTTTTCAAGTCAAGAGTTGTAATGTAGGTACCTTTAGCAGTCGAATGTAGTAAATCATCTACTCTAGGCAATGGTTATTGTATTGGAACAGTAATTCTGTTCAATCGTCTATAATCAACACACAGGCGCATGTTTCCATCAGGTTTCGGGATCAAAACAACTGGAAAAGCATAAGGCGATTCACATTAAAAAATTCTTCTCAAATTAGGTAGATACATACAAAAGGTTTTTAATTGTACAATCAACTTCCTTATGTCCTACATTACTTACTGCTTTGATGTTTCCAATGTCCAATTCCCATGTCCAATAGAAAAGCATTGTCCTTTGCAGCAGCAACTGAAATTGGATCTTTCAACATAACTAAACTCGACAAAACTCCTCTTTGGATTTGATTGACCATGAGATAGGTACACCCAGAATCAATAAAAAACTGTAATCCTTCCACATTTCTTGGTTTTTCTCCTATTTGTTTTTCTCCAAGGAAACAAATGTTTCTGTTCAACTGATCTGTCCGTGAACCTTGGTGTAAACTCTCATCTTCTGCCAAGTTACTTCCTCTATTTTGAAATCCATCTTATTTTGTCCTGCTGCTGTAATCCTCTCTTGAAATGAAACCTCTTGCAGAGTCTCTTGCATTAAAATTTACTCTTGCATTAAAACCTCCTCTTGCATTGTAATGTCCTCTTGCATTGTAATCTCCTCTTGCATTGTAACCTCCTCTTGTATTGTAACTTTTATTTTGATAACCTCTCCGTATAGGACCTAGACTGTAATCATTGCTTCTTGGCGCATTGTAAGTAGATACTGCCTAATCCACTGTAATTATTGTTTGCCAATTATTTTGTGGACAAAAACGTCTTCTGTGATTAGTTGAGCCACATCCATAACATTTTTTGTTTCAGATTCTGTCCACATCTGGCATGCATTGTTTTTATTTCGAATTATATTTCCAGTTGAGAATCATCCAAACACTGGACCACTATAGATTGGCATTACTTGTCTTGTTTCTTATCTTTTTATTTTTCTCTATCATCGTTGTATCTACTATAATTTAATTCATATTCAATCTATGTTACCACTCCTTTTACCTTTAGTAATACTTGCACTCTAAATTGACTTTTCATTTAATTTCCTGCCCTGAAAACTGCCTGGGCCAACCTCTTGTATTATGCTTCTCAAAAGAATTAAACCACTTAGCTTTTTTAAATAGGTATTCCTTACTTTATTTTCAACCAACTTCTTTTTCTTGAAGGATTTCTAACGTACAAACTTAACTGTCACTGTCAACATTACATTTTTTTAGAAAATCTGCATTGTCGATTAAACTTCTCACACTAGTAATTTTGGTGTCTATGGCGTGGGTCTTTCAACTTTCTGTTTAAATAAACCCTTAGGTATCTGTCCTAAAGCTTCAAAGACTCTAGTAGCTTATTTTCCAAATATTTTATCACTACCTTATGATAAAATTGGCATTTTACAGAGAATTTTAAAAGATTGTTATTATTAGTTTTAATGCCAATCATTATCACCAGTGAGAGGAAATTTTGCATCAATCATTGTTTGTGCCAATTTAAACTTCGAACATACTCCATCATTCTACCGCGCCTATACATTATTTTGACGAACCACAAGTTTCTGGTAAACGATATATTACAAACAAGATGGCAAGTCCGATTTGGTACCATTTGCGCAATGACCCAAAACAACAAAAAACCGCATTAACTGCAACCTGAAAGTGCTTTTGAGCGTGCAAAATAACTATTTCAAATTTTTCTCTATAGGGTTTTGTTCATGTAAGAGTGTGGTTTCCCCAATTTCCTGGAGTCGTAATGCAATCCGATCAGGAATTAATTATAATGTGCAAACCTCCCGAACCGACTGTTATAGAAAACAAAGCTGCAGGATTCGCTGGAAGTTTGTAAGTGAATAAATACAATTTTTGTCTTGAATTTATTCCAATATATTTTCTTTAGTCCTCATGGTGCTCGAGTATCTGGTGTAGTAGAAGAAACCCCTGGCAGATTAGAATACGAAGTGGCCTTGTACAAAGAAGCTCCCGCAGCCAAAATAAACAACGGCAGCAGCACCGAGTTGCCAGTGGACCAAGCAGTACCCATAGGTAAGTTCTCAAAAAATGCAAAGTACCATTAACTATAATAAATTACCCTTTTGAAGGTACCAAACTGCAATTACGGGCACGCATCAATCCTGATTCGGCTTGGAAGTTTGTTAAATTAATGGAGGTAACTGTTTCGCCGGACCCCGATGACCCTCACATGCCCGGAAGTGTTGCACTTGTAAAAGATGGGTGAGTACCACTACCAGTTAGTCTAATAAATTATTCCCTGTCTCAAGTAATCGATCTTTATTTATTGTTAACTGTCATAACTTGAAATTATTTGCTACATGGAATAATAATTTTGATGACTATTAAATTTGTCCTTATTTCACAGGCTTTCATAAAATATCTTCACACTCTTTAAATAGTTGTGATTATTACTTCTTCTCCATAAGCTTATCCTTATCTTTTTCCGGTTTATAAAGTATATGACCACAGCTTAAGATAAAAATTATTGCCCAAGTCAACACACCAAAAGTACACATTCACATTGCAACTTCTTCTGCTTTATTTCATCTAGATAAGATGATCCCATTTATGGCCTAAATCCTCTCTGAAATGTTTACCTACCATTAAACAACTGTTCTTTTATAATAATTGATCTAGTGAAACCATCCTTGACCCACGTTATATGAATACAATTATGTAAATTAAACATGAAGAACATCCATTATTTTTACATACCCTAATTACTCTCGAGAAGAACCTACATTTACTTGAATATGCTTCAACGGGAATTACGGCATATTTTGCTACTGAAAATAAAAAAGAACCGTTTTGTCTTCGTATGCTTCACAACACCAAAAAATTACTTTCGAGTAGGTATATATAACATATAAGATATCTAAGTTCACGACAATTACCTGAAGGTACCAAAAAAACTCTTCACATAAAAAAGCTTCAACTTTCCTCAAAACCATGGGAAATAAAAGTAAAATTTTATAATGCAGAAATTACATAATAAGTCTCACATCATTATATCAAACCAGTTTTTTTTTTTCTACCAAATTTGTTCACATTCATGATGGGAAATTAAAATAACAACCTACTTGACAATAATTAGAACTGTTTTGCTCATAGATGCCGAAATAGAGATTTTGCCTCAATCATACCGCACCAGCCTGCAAGATATCGGGATCGTCATAATGAAGTTTTTTTGGATTTTGAAGCTTTCCTCTTGAGCACGATGAGAGAGAGGTCCACGCTGTGGATTCACTCGCAAATTAAAGCTTGCATGGAAGCCGTCGACTGTCAACCTGATTTTTGTTTAGATTTGTTTGAACCGTCTGGACATGGACGTAGAAGGTATAAACTTCCAACCCCTTTAATTTCATTAATTACTTAAATATGCAAATAGAGTCTGACTCTATGTGTAGATATAACTTCTAAATTAGATTAATTTTCAGGAAACGACGTCAAGCAGCTGAAATAATCGAATTCTTCGAAAGCCCAAACGGCGAAAACGGTCTACAAAGATACAATGCAACCCATTTCACAAAAATCAACGGCAATCTCGAATATACCGTACTGATGCCAGGAGAATTTTTCCAAAAAGCTTCAGCGCTGGAAAGCAGCTGCAGTACTTTTTTGGTAGTTGCAGCAATTCTCGGTTGCCTGCTTTTCCTGGCAGCTTTCCTCATGTGTTGGCTAGCGTCGAAGTTGCACTCAGCGCTGCTGGCAGCCAACGATTCCAATACGAATGTCGACGATATGGTACGAGAAAATAGACATTATAGCGAGAGTTGTTATACTGGAAGAGCGACCACTCAATAAGAACTTTTGTGTTTATATGATTGAATTTAGTATTTGGCATTAGCAATATTTTTTGGTTGCTTATAAAGCTGTTATTCTACAAGAGTTACAGCCAACAAACCTACACGAATGTCTGGTTTGAATTTATAAGAATATTAAAGTAGACACTGAAATTAAGCCATTTCTAAGATTTTTCAAGTTGTAGCTTCCTAGATTATTTGTCGACTTTCCTGCAAGTCAGTTTAACATGCACATTTTGTTGTATGGACATATGAGTCTGTCTTGGATATTATCTTCTAGAGAAATGGTAATGGACGTGCAAAGTTTTTTATCTAACCCTTGAGGTGATGAGCAGTTTGTTATACCAACTGCGCCAAAAATGCTATAAACACCCTTCAAAAAATCTTGTGAGACGCAGGAAGTTTTACGAAGGGATTTCTACAAAGTAAAAATCTTGTGGATAAATTCAACAACTTGCCAAATCTTAAATGTTAAAATTGAATATTCACATAAATATTTAAGTGTATTCTATCTCAGTGTTTCAGTTAGCCTCAATAGTGTACCTTATTAGCCTAAACTATATTTTAATGCTTTTGACCAAAAACATTTTGTAGGTATCTACACTTATATTATTTATTCACAATCTGTAGTCCACAGGTACAGGTGGAATGTATCACCTTTCAATGCTATTTGATAGGGAAAGGTGATAAATTTACCTGTACCTTTGGACTACAGATTGTGAATAGGATGTAGGTAAGCGAATATGTAAGTTATTTATTTATTTTACATTTATTTTTAGCGTTAAAGGTCTGTAAATAAATTCTAGGGATCAAGTTTTTTTGGAAATGTTACTAAGGGCCAAATTATGGACCAACTGGTAAGTGTCCTAGCAGGTACTTTCTATTATCTGAGCATAGAAAGTACCTGCTAGGTAACAATCAGACGTTTACCAGTCAGTCCATAATTTGGCCCTAAAGCAATTTTACAAACAATTTTTGTAAAATTTCTTTTTTTCTTATGTAACTTCATTTCCATTAAAAGGAGCTTGGGTAAATGTTATTTTAAGTTTATGGTTTATTATTATAGTTCAGTATTAAATAAGTCATATAAGATTATTTAAATGTTTTGTGGTTTTTTTTTTTTCCTACAACAATTTGCAGAACATGTAGAATAAACTCTTGTACCTTTATATGAAGACAAAGACTGACTCGAAAATGTTTGATGAGCAGTGTTCGACCAGAAACAGAAGTGATGAATTTCAGAGAAGGAAACATGTAATTTAGAAAAGAAAAGTTGCATTTAAGAATCGTAAATTTAATTTCAGAATAGGGAAAAATTATAATTTAAGAAAAGGAAACTGTATGACAGAAGGTGTAAATTAAATTTGAGATGGAATATGTTATTCAGAATAGTATAATACTGTCACGGATTCTGGGTTCACTTCACTTAAAACTCACTTCCACATTGTCGGCACCATGTCTTGACATTCTGGTAATAGTTCACCCAATCGAATCTGTCCAAGGGACAAAGTGTCAAAAAATTTGTCACTGTGTTGTAATTTTGCTCTGTGCTAAAGCCCTGCAATTTGCATGCCAAATCGCCCAGATATATTTTATCACAAGTCTTCAGCCAAGAAAAATAACCTTTTGTTGCGGAAGAAAAAGCTGGCTTCCTGCGTTCCGCGTTATTGGCAAGATGCCGAAAACCCCTATTTTTGATCTTGGTCCTGAAAAAATTCCTGATTCCAATTCCCAATATCCTGAAACCGAAAATGAAATGCAGAAGGGTGAGTTGAAAGCTGCGACATCACAAAACACCCTAGTTCCTTTATCAACATTTCAGTCACTAGAAAGGAGGTATGAGCTCTTAGAAAAAGAGAATAAAATGCTAAAAGAACAATTACAGACTTTACAAGCCTCATTAGATACAATTCTAATGGAAGTTAGGAGTAATAATTTATCAAAGACGAAAACGACAAAAACTAATAAAAATAAATCATGTAAAATTCACAAGGACGTACCGACTCTATCAGATACAGACCATGACATGGACATTCAAATTGACCGCCCCGTATCTGATGATGAAGATGTCATTTCCCAGGAGAAAATGGACGTCTCTGATGTTGATTTTCCTCCACTTAAAAAACCAAAATATACTGCTTCGCTCAACTTTCCTCACAGTACTAACAAAAAATTAATGACTTATCTAAAGAACAAACATGACGATACCTCACAGAGTACAGAAACCATTCCCACAAAAAGCAATCCCCCTAAAAAAACCGTTCCAATTATTTTAAGGAATATTTTGAGACCTAAACAACTTTTAACAAAACTTACGGACATGAAACTATTTTTTACTGACCCTAAAAAAGACCGATTGGGCATTTCCATCACTCCTGACTCTCCTGATGACCATCGTGGCATCACTAAATTTCTTAAAGAACAAAAAATTGAATTCCACTCTTATTTTCTTCCAGGCGAAAAAATGATAAATGTGGTGATCCAGGGACTTGACAGAAATCAAGATCTTGGTGAAGTCCAGGAGGAGCTTGAATCTTTGGGTTTTTCTCCTAAAGAGATCCAAAGATTCAAGCCTTCTCAAAGTCGCGGCCTCAAAGGCTCTTCTTTGATAAAATTCCTGGTTTTCCCAGATGAAGCTGACAGATTTTACGACATCAAGAGGATTAGCTACATGCCGGTGACCATTGAGGCCCAGCATAGTAACGATAAAAAGTATGAACAAAGGGAGAATTTTTGTCGGTTATAGGTACCGAAACTTTTTCAATTTTCCTTTGACTTTAATTTCCACAAAAATTTTCTTTGATAAAAAGTATGTTCCACAATGCCACAATTGTCAGCATTTTGGGCATACTTTGTCTAATTGCTATGCAAAGCCCAAATGTCATCGGTGTGCTGGCAATCATTTCTACACTAAATGTACCAAAGACATAAACTCTCCCCCTACATGCGTCAATTGCGGAGGTGCACATCCGGCCAATTATAGAAATTGTCCGAAGTGTCCAAACAGAAATGTCCCTTCCACCCCCAAACCAACACCAGATCAAAGCACTTCTCCCCCAAGGGACACAGCAGCTTTATTTAAAACTAAAACCCCATTTGTGAGCTACGCTCAAAAAATGAAATTGAATACAGACAATATCAATAACAGTACAAATACTAAACCACCTCAACAACAACTAAACTTGACTAACAACCCGATTTTGAGTCTCTTGACTCTTTCAGAGCAAGAGATTTCAAATAAACTGAACAGACTGGCAGAGATGATTAATAATCATCCTAGCCTCAAACTTTTAACACAACTAAACTAGATAATGGGTGATACACCTAGACCCACACGACTTTACATAATCTCTTGGAATGCAAACTCTATATTTCCCAAAAGATATGAGTTTGCATCCTTCTTACATGAGGATAATGTTGACATAGCATTAGTCCAGGAGACTATGCTTAGACCACATACAATTTACAACATACAAAACTATACTATATACAGAAATGACAGACCTAACCGTGCTGGTGGTGGTACTGCCATTTTCGTTAAAAACAATATTCCTCATGATACTATTGCCACTCCTGCCTCTGACAATGTGGAATACACTGGTGTGGTAGTCCACCTTGCAGATGGCCCGCTTAATATTTTCAGCGTTTATAAGCCTCCTTCTAAACGCTTAACCCGTGATGATATGAACCTCTTCTTCGGTTTTGATGCTCCGACCTTAGTTGCAGGAGATTTAAACTGCAAAAACAGAGCCTGGGGGTGTCGCGCTAATAATACAGCGGGCACTTTTCTACTTCAATTCACCCAGGACAATTTCATCTCAGTTCATGCTCCCTTAGAGCCAACTCATTTTCATAATATTACCCCTGACATTCTAGACCTTGCTCTATCCAAAAATGTCCCTTATAACATTGGTATTGGCAATATTAACGATCTCAGCTCCGACCACACTCCAATTAGTCTTAAAGTTGGTGGTCAGGTCCCAGATGTAAATACTCACCATACTTTTTCCTTTAACAACTATCCGCAATTCAAATCACATCTTGAAGCCAATCATATCCCACCAGTCGTGTTAAACACGACTCTGGACATTGACAGTGCTATTAACACGTTTACTCAAGAAGTAAATGACTGTTTAAATAGCACTAAAATTTCTATAACTACCAAACAAAATAACCCATACTCACTACCACATCACATACGCCAGCAAATTAAGTTGAGAAATCGACTTAAAAGGCTGGCAATAAGGACTAGAGACCCAAATATTAAACTTGAATGTAACAGACTTACGAACTTAATTAAAAGTTTAATTAAGGAACACAAAAACGAGAAATGGGGTAATTTATTAGCTGACTTGTCCCCTGAGGATAATTCTCTATGGAAAATAATTCGTTCTCTTTTAAATAAGAAAAATAGGCAGATTCCCCCCATTCATGGTAGAGCTGGTTTGGTGTATACTAATGAAGAAAAAGCAAGTGCTTTTGCTGACTCACTTCAATCACAATTTTCACCTAATGAACACCCTGATGATGATATTGTTCATGAAGAGGACGTAGACAGGCGCTATAGAGAAATCTGTAGGCTGCCTATTCCTTCGAATGATACAATAATACCTGTCTCCACCGACGACGTAAAATTTTTCATTGCCCGCTCTGTCAGCAGAAAAGCCTCTGGTTACGATGATATTAGTAATAAAGTCCTCAAAAACCTTCCGGACAACGTCGTCGCGACATTTACTCGCATTCTAAACGAATGCCTTAAACTCAATTACTTTCCTAAAGCATGGAAACTGGCAACCGTGATACTGATCCCAAAACCAGATAAGGATCATCAATTTCCACAAAATTACCGTCCAATCAGTCTTCTGTCTTCACTTTCTAAAATTCTTGAGAAAATAATTCATGAAAAACTTAAATCCTTACATTATCTAGACAGCATTCTCCCTGACGAACGATTTGGTTTTCGTCCAAATCATTCCACTGAGATTCAGCTTGCCAGGTTGGTTGAAGAAAGTACTCGCACCCTGCAGCGCCGCTACTCAACGGGTGTTGTGCTGCTGGATGTTGAGAAAGCCTTTGATCGCGTCTGGCATGCTGGACTCATAGTCAAACTTCATGGCAAATATTTTCTGCCATTATCTCTTGTCAAAATGCTCATTAATTTCCTTAAAGCCAGAAGTTTCCGTGTCAAACTCAACAAAGATACTTCCATGTCAGACCTATAGAAGCGGGAGTTCCTCAGGGTTCTGTCGTGGCTCCACTGCTCTATAATCTCTACACGGCTGACATCCCCATTAATCCCCATACTAAAATGTCCATCTACGCAAATGACACTTGTATTTACACTTCACAAAAGTACTTACATCACATACATAGACGACTACAAAATCATCTTGACTCCATGATTGACTGGGCAAAATTATGGAAAATTAAAATTAACATCGATAAGACCCAAGCCGTCCTGATCTCCAACAAACGTGACAAGCATATTGACATTCTCATACTAGACGATTCCGAAATTACATGGACAAATCAAATTAAATATCTAGGACTATTACTGGACAGTAAACTTTCTTGGACCCCCCACATTTATCATAAACTGAATAAATGCAACAGATTAGTGGGATTGCTTTATCCATTACTTAACAAGGACAGTAAACTAACTCTAAAAAACAAACTATTACTATACAAACAAGTTATCCGACCTACATTACTTTACGGTGCAACAGTTTTTTCACAGACAACACGTCAAAATAAAAAGAAACTGCAAGTGTTTCAAAACAAGGTAATCCGCAGGATGGTCGGCGCTCCGTGGTATGTCCGCAATGCGGACTCACATACAGACCTGAGCGTTGATACCATCCAGGAGTACCTTGTTGAGAAACATACGCGGTTTCTTGACAAAGTAACTAACCATACAAATGACATAATTAAATCTTTATTTGACGATAACTATAATATTAACCCTGACAGAACTATGTTCAGAAATTTAAGAGCTCCACTTCTTTGCTAGTGAATGAAATCCCCTTCCGTCCTTTACCTTCCTTCCTATCATTTCCCCACTCCCCTCCCTTTCCCTGAACAAAAATTAACTGAAAACACAACACATGGCAGTAAGTAGACTCACCCAAAATTGCGTAAGAGTGCTGTCGCACTAACGCAGTGTTAAACTCAAAAGAAGAAGAAGAAGAATCTGTCCAAGGTGTCATTGACTCCCATTGTGAACTTCTCTGAAATCTGAAGTAACTTTTGTGCTGGGCACGCCCAATTACGTTCTCATTATTTTACCATTTGCACTCTCCCAGGTTCGTTTCAGTAATCCATTTTAGACTAGCTTGAACCCACAGCGCCTTGAAAGTTAAGCTTCTATACTTTATTTTTTCCCAAGATAGATTTTGACATTGAAAACTTTGAAACATAAACAATAACGCTTAACCCTAATTGGTCGCAAAATAAGGTGTTTCTGCAGGTTGACATCAGTTTCACAATAGCGACCAATAAGCGGCAATAGTGGCAATGTTTATGTTTCAAAATTGACAATGCCAAAATGATCTTGGAAAAAATAAACCATAGGTGATATTTCTTGACAGGCTGAACTGGATTTTCCGGATTCCTTCAGATTCAAAAATGGTTGATGTCACTATCTTGTAATTGGTCACTTCTGAGCTGTTCGGAATTCCATTCTTGATACGTTTCAAATTGAAGGCTTCTTATAGGAACTCCTTCACGCTGATCGATTCTGAGGGAATGCTTTTGAATTGAGCTGGGCATGGTCGTTTGGATAAGACATCTGCTTTATTATGCAGTTCACTAGAACTGTGGTTGATTTGAAAATTATACTGCTATTTCTCCAGCCATCTTGTATCTTGCTACATGTCCTTCTAGTTGTTTCATGTTTAGAAGCTATTTGAGCGATGAATAGTCAATGTTCCTTTCTTGTAACGCGGTAATTTTTTTTCGGGCTTGCTAAGCACTCTACTGTAGCATTCATTTCAATGAGCCTCTCTTCTCCATCTTGTATTTGAGACAGGACAGCTCCAATACCTGTGGTGCTCGCGTCTGTGTCCAAAATAAATTTCCCATGTACCCGTGGATATTCTGGTATTAGGACTGGAACATAGAGCTGCCTTCAGTCTCCCAAAATCAACGTCACAGTCGGTGATCCAATCAAAAATTGCTTTTTCATTATACTAGATTTCCATCAACCTTTCGAAAGTAGCGGGTGCGTTACAGAGTCCAAAAGGCATTACCTTGAATTGGTAAAGACCACTTTTGGAGGAGAACGCTATCTTCACTTTATCTTTTACGTCAATGTTCTCCAGCCAGTATCCGCTTTTTGAATCCAAATTTTTCGTAAAGTTCGCCAATATTTAGAATATTCTGTAGGTGTATCTTCCTTGAAACTTGTTTATTCTTTTTTTTTTCGATGACGACATCAGTAATGAAGTCACACACTTTCCTAATAGAATCTTATTCAATCTATGTTATCCAGTGAGCACATCCTGAATATTATGATTTATAAAACGATGGGAGACCTTTGGACGTGGGCCATCTATGACTTGAATGTAGTCATTTTTCTTCTGCCGTGGTACTTTTAATGATGAAAGTATGCGGTTTTTTTGTTTTCCAGAAAATCAAATGGAAAAAAGTGGTATACAGGGTATCCCTGTTCAACTGGTCAAAAATGCTAGGGTATATAGAGGAAACATAGTGCGTCGTTTCCAAAATACAGGGTGTTGAAATTTAGACAACCTCCTTTCATATCATCTGAAAGGCTAATGCTAGGCTGTTCAAATTTCCAGGGATTATTGATGTAAGAATGATATTTAAAAATTCGTATATAATAATGCACCCCCATTTTCTACCTGGAACCATCCCAAAAAAACAATAAAAGATAAAATTAAAAAAAAAAATAGTTTCAAATTTTATTTTTTTTGGGGTGGTTACAGGTAGATAATGGGGGTGCATTATACGAATTTTCAAATATCATACCTATACATCAATAATCTCTGAAAACAATAAAAAATAGTTCAGGGAACTTTTTAATAAATTTTAAATAAATACTGGGGGCTACTTAAATTTTACAAACTACATAAAAAAAAGGACATAAATATACCTACTATTTTAAAATCAAAGTATTTTCAGCTATTTTTCAAGGCACCTAAGTTTTCTTAGTTTGTGTCCAAAAAATTTAAATTTTTTTTGCGAAGGTAGATACCCCCTGGAGGTACTTGAGCCTTTTCGAGAGTTGGGCCAAATAGTCGCAGTTCTGTTGTTTCAGCTGCGAATTTTCAAAATCTGCAGTTGACGTTTTCTACCTACCTTTTCCATTGTGTTTAGGTGATATTGCACTGGGCAGTGTCTGCACTGTCTGGTGAGAACTTCGACCACCAATCTGATATTATTTCTGTTCATGTGTGGTCTGTGTGGATAGGACTTGTTTTGCACTCTTTTGTAATGACTCTTGTCTTCAGTTTGTGGACAATTGGGCCTTCTCCCATTTATATAGGTGGTTTGTTACGTGGCTCTTCATAAGGTCGCAAAATACCTTATTTGCAGGGCTGGCTATGCTTCCTCGTGACCTGTACCCACATCAAGGTTACCAAGTTGTGAATCGTTAGAGGTTTTAGGGCCTAGTGGCATTCCCAGACTAGCTTTGATACACATTTGCAGGCCTTCACAGCCTTTAAAGCCGCTTGGCTGTCCTGATATTATCAAGACGTGTGTTTTGGTTTGGACACTATTGTGCACAAATATTGATTGCAAGCAATTTAGCTTGGAATATGGTTGGATATTTGCTCAGTGGCGTGAAATTTCTGAAATGCCATGTCCAGCCAATCCAGCTCCGTTCGCTACATTGCAGTCATCTGTGTATCTCAGCGAGGTGTTGTAACTATTTATTCTCCTATGATTGGCGAATGTTGAATGAATGAATGAATGAACCAGCCGACACTTGAGTCCGATCAAGATCACCAGCAGCAGCAGTACGAAACCGATCCCGACGCTATTTATCAAAGAACAATCTTTGTACTTAATGCTAGTTATTATGTTATAAACAAATAGAGCTGAATGCATATTTCTTTATATTGCTCCGCCGAGGTAGACTTAAACAAGTCAATATGGGAGATCATATAATGGGTAAACATTCTTGACATAGAGGAATCTTTCAGATCAGATCACTGCTGGATTCGGCTTTTGCGGCGCCCATATGACAAATGCATATTCTAAGTGAGGTCTTACTAATGCATCGTACAATGGTATAACTGTTTCAGTTCTTTTGAAATACTTCGAGTTCCGGATAATGAAGCCAAGTATTCTGTATGCTTTTCCAACAATAATCTAATAGTGCTATGTACAAAGCCCAAGGAAACTTTTGAGTTCATTTTTATCCCGAAGTCGACGCCATAAGCAAATTGCTTGGATTTTTCTCTTGTCAGTATGAATTCCTTCGGGTTAAACTACGTGGCCAAGAAAATCAAAGCACCGTTGGAAGAGTGAGCATTTCTTCACATCTAATCGGAGATTTGCCTTACGGGCACGAGTAAATACTTCTTGTAAGGTCCATGCGTGTTTTTCTTATCACAACACAATCAGGCCTATGATGTAGCCGATCCTGTTATTTCAACGGCTGTGTTATGTTATGGCTAAACATCTATTGCTGTCTGTGTGACAAATAACTTACCGTTGCTGTTGAAATAACAGAGAATGATACATAATAGGCCTGATTATCATCCGGGTAGACAAGGCATAAGTTCTCGTAGTACGAATTCCATCAACCTCTCAAAAGTAGCGGGGGCGTTACAGAGTCCAAAAGGCATAACCTTGAATTGGTAAAGGTCAGTTCCAGTGGAGAACGCTGTCTTCTATTTGTCTTTTTCGTTAATGCCCACCGCGTGACCGCTTTTCAAATCCAAAGTAGAAAACCAATTTGAGTTTGCCAATGTCGTCAGTGACAATTTTTTTTAAATTTTAACTATTACCGGCTTCAGGAAAGTTTTCCAGAGAATCAAGAGCCGGTAATAATTCAAATTTTGATTATCTGTGGCTCTTGATCCATGAGATAATTTTTCTAGAGCCAATTAAAAGCTGCCGAAGAAGAAATTTTGATTATTAACAACTCAAGAGCTGTCAATGAGTAATCGAAAGTTTGATTAATATCGGCTCTTGAGCTTTGAATATCCTTAGAAATATTCTCTTGCGAATCCAGAGTTGACAAAGCAAAAAGACATTTTCAATCGATCAATTCTCACCGTGTTTTTCATACCCAAAATTCATAGTTTTGCTCCTATTTATATTTCGTATGTGCAAATTTAGTCAATCATTTACGCTCAGATAACTGTGAACATTTCTAAGAACTTTCAAAGCAGACTTCAACACTCTTTCCCCGTAAACTCGTAAACTAAATTAATTGCCCCCTAGTTTAGCAATCATCATTCTTTCAACTACAAAGGCAAGAAGGCATCATCGTCTTTACAAGTTCGCGTCTGATATATTATAGTTCAAGAGATCCGGGAGAAAGTGGACGAAATTTTAAGCAGGCGGTTACCGGAGCGATTACGTATTACCTATTTAATAACCGCCAATTTGTTTTGATTAAACATCGGTCATTGGTTTGTTTTGCCCCATGAATGGAAAGTCTTCTATCGGCCGAATGCATTTATACGGAAAAACCCAAAAGTTTGAACGCAACACCAATTTGAAAAAAAAATGCTTTATTTTTTTGTTAGAATAATTGTATAGCCTCATTTTGTTTAGATAGTTTATAGTCCTGAAAAAAATAAATAAAATACAATGAGAAGTCAAAACCTGAAAGGTTACCTTCCAAAAAGTCCTGACTTCTTGCACATCATCCCTACGCCTAACCCAATAACCTCTCAGAAACGATTGTATTTTAACGGCTGCATATTCCCTGCTCCAAATCAAAGAAAATGGATAGTAAGGCCTAGGATTATGCTGCAAATAATCGTTTACCCAATCCATGTCAAATATGTAAGTCCAATTGTTCCTTCTATCTGGATGTTTGGGATTTTTGTTGTGTAAATATTCGCTTAGGTAATCAATGCCATGAAACGCACTTTTTTGTCTCTATGTAGAGAAAACTTCCTCATGATATTATCTAAGAGTATTTCATACTTACATTAAAACTATTTTCGTCTGTTACTATTCCAAGCATAGCAATTAATGCTTCGCATAAGACTGGAAACACTTCTTTATTTAGGTAAACAATCACTGGAAGATGGTGCAATGACGCTTCATCTTCTGTATTATCTCTTTTCTTGATATACTGTTCCAATTCTTCTCTGTCTTCATTGTACTTGTTCATGATAGCTCCCCATATACTATCAGTGTTTGTCCTTGCACTTTCTTGATCAAAGCCCGCAAAAGACTTTTTAATCGGTTCATCGGGGGTTTGACCAAAATCGATCTCGGACATTTTTATGAGTTTGACAAATGTCAGCACAACAGTAAACTTACAAGACAAACCTACTGAGTTTGATCCACTGTCAAATGCCACTGGTTTATTGACTCCAGAGAAGGTTAAGTGATTCCTCAAGTGTTAATAATTATGCAATAGGTAGTAAAAACCCCAACAAGTAAGGTATATGAAGTGTCTTTGACCTACATGTTCAAGAAGTTCGAAGAAATTGGTCTTCGATTTTGATCAGATTTCTTTCATTCTGACTGATTCGTTGAAATGTATAATTTGGTTTTTCTTTGGCTTCAATAGCAATAGGTACAAAAAAATCAGCATATTATAATGGGCACTTATTCAACACAGTTCTTTCTTCACCCAATTGTCGGAATGACCTTCAGTCAGAGCGTGTTTGCAATAAATAAAGAAGAAATTGCCTCGAAGGCTTTGGATTACTCATACACGCGGTTATTGTGTTGGCGTCTCAACTGTTATGAAAGTGAAATTGGAATAGTAATTTTATCGGGTCATCAGCAAAAAAAAAACGAATCATATCGTAAATGTTGAATTATTCGCACCCATTATTCCTCACAGAAATTTTGTTGGGAAGAAGTAACACCTCATCCATCAAAAGTGCTTATAATACCTACCAAAATATTCTTCAGAAATTAATTCTTTACGCAAAAAAAATTCGTTGAATCAATATCTCTGAAGGTTTCTTGCTTGTAATATTGCAAGACACTTTAATATGCACGCAACGATCGTATTTCATTCACCTTTAATGTTATTGTTCGTATCAATTAGGAAATTCCATGCAATACTTTTGCTTTATGCAACGAATTATGCAATTTTATAACAATATAAGATTATATTGAATAATAATAAAACTACTGAACAGTGTAACCTGTTTGATTTGAGCACAGTTTAATTCCTGATGCTGTTATTAGAGTTTTTGTTTCAGTTCTCTATGTTATAGTTTCAGCCACAACTTGGGTTTTTTAATAATTTCTCGTTCTGATTTCCTTAAAACTTGCCCGTGCATTTTCTTCGATCTCTACGTTTCTTTTATCCAACCTCTGCTACAAAACTATTCAAATCAATAGGGGCGACGTCATAGCCACCTATGAGCCTGTCAAAGGGATTTCAAAGTGTGAAGCTGAAGAACATCAAAGAAAGAAAGGAAATAAATCTTCCAGCGACATTCTAAGACAATTAGAAACATCTTGGCAACATCTTTATCTTTTGGGAGGCTCAAGGCCTGTAAGCCCTGTGTTCCAGTTCTATATTGGGCTACCCACGGGTATGAAGAAAATTTATTTTGAACACAAACGCGAGCTGTCCTGTCACAAATACAAGATAGAGCTACAGAGTGCTTATACCAATCCCGAGAGAAATTTCTGCGTGTCCACAAGTTCAAGTACCTGTATGGACAATAATTTCTCATTAGAACAGACCATGCATCGCTTTAATCTAAACATGAATTGGCCAAGTTTTGTTCTTCTAGAACCTTCAGTCATCCTTTTTACTTGCCCCGTTCGATCCACTGCGTCTATTTTATCAGCTCAATATTATATTCCATTCCTTTTACATCAAAATTTGAGATTTCCGGCAAACAAATTGTTTTATTGATATTGGTCACTCTTCCTTTGATATTTAGGCTCTACGTGCTTTACCAAGCATCAGCTGTTTGATTTTCTCCTTGGTTTTATTGTAGGTTGTCCGTTTCGGTCTTGGTCTTGTACTTCAAAGATAATTCTTTTTAAACACTCTCCCATTATGTAACTCTCTTCATTATTGTTATTTTTGACTGAATCTATCTCTTCCATGGCGTCTAACTTTCGATGGTTCTCCTGGCCTTTTCCTGCTTGACTTCTGAAATTAGAATGTCTTGAACATTTTTGTGTGAAGAATAAAATAATATTCTACCCTATGAATGAAAAAGAGCATTTGCTTTTTCTCGTAAAATCGAAAGCAAATGCTCCATCCAGTAAGAATAAAAGTTCAAGCAAAACCTTTTATTTAAAAGTCGGAAGCAAATGCTCCAGAAAAAAGCAATTACTCTTTTTCCTATGAATAAAAGAGAGTATTTGCTTCAAATTGGAAGCATTTTCTCATTACAAATTGCATCTACTCCAGAGCAGATGTATTTTTACTATTTTGGTAATAGTCTAGGAGGCAGTGACGTTTTTCGGCACTCATTTTCCCAGTCAGACAACATGGATAGAATTGTAGGGTTAGTAATTCTAAGCAAAATTCATATATTTTTAGGGGGGGTTTTCCGATGGGTTGAGGCGCAAAATGCGTTACAGCTTACGAATGCATGGCCCTTTGTTTTTCCAGTGATAAAAATAGGTCTACTTATGAGAAGTATAGGTACTGAAGTTACGTAAAAAAATAGTCCGGAAGAGAAGAAACTATTTAATATACACCAACTGGGAAAATAAGTGCTAAAAAATTTCACTGCCTCCTGGACTATTAATTATTTTGGAATATTCTTATTTCCCCCCCTTTTTTTTTCTTGTCTGTTTTCTTCTTTAGCCGGGTCGTCATGTTGTTTAAGTATCTTCTTTAGGAATTCTTATGATGTTATTTTTGTTCCGATCATTTTTTCATATCGTTCAATTTCTTCCTTAAGCAGTCTGCTTTTGTTTTCTTTGCTGCGGGTTTCTGAGAATTTTATTATACATCCGGCCTTTGAAGGACTTGGATTTGGGTTTTCGTGACAATAGGCTAATATGTAGGGGAGACCGGGGCAGGTTGTAACACGGGGTACATTGTAACATGGCTAAAATGCCTAAAATAAAAGGTTTGGCAACACCGTGTTCCGGTCGTGCTCGTAAACGTCTCCCTTCGGATCAGTTTAACGCGTGCTACGATACAAATCGCAATGTTATTTTTGTGTAATTGTGCCAAGATTGGTTTTCAATCACAGAAGTAAAATGCACACCTTCATGGATTTTTTTGATTTAATGCAGCTTGGAATAAATCAAGGTTGGCTATTATGTTTTATATGAATGACAATACTATACTTTAATGTTATTACTATTTGTTTTGACGATATTTTTCGTAACTTTTTATGATGTAAAAACAAAATAAATCAGCATCGGGGCAAATTCTAACACTTTCTACGGGGCAAGTTGTAACGTGTTACAACTTACCCCGTCTTATAAAATATTATTTAGTTTTGTTATTGTTTTCTTTTTCAGCATGAGAACGTACAAGAAAAAAACTGCAAGAGGTAATACCTCTAAAGAGGATATGGAAGAAGCGATACGTCGTGTTTTGGACAATAATGAATCGGAGAGATCAGTTGCTAGAGCTATGAACATTTGTCATGTAACACTCAACAGATATGTCAAAAAAATGAGAGATGCCCGCGATAATGAGGGTGTCATTACGCTGACTCATATTGGTTATAGTAGCACCCCAGTGTTTAATCAAGACCAATCCCAAAAACTGGTGGACTACCTAAAACATGCCTCTAAAATCTATTTTGGCCTTACTCCAAAAGAAGTCCGCAAGTTTGCTTACGAGTGCGCTTTAACATATGGTGTCAAAGTTCCTGAAGCATGGCATAGAAACAAGTACGCAGGAGAAGATTGGCTGACAACGTTCCTAAAAAAAAATAACGAACTTTCAATTCGCACGCCAGAGGCTACTAGTTTGCAAAGAGCTACAAACTTTAATAAAATTAACGTTTCGCTGTTTTTTGACAAATTGGCAGCAGTAAGAGACAAATATAACTTCGACGCCGGCGCCGCACGCATATGGAATCTGGACGAGACGGGAGTCACAACCGTTCAAAAAGTAAGCAAGGTAATAGCTATAAAAGGAACAAAGCAAGTTGGTGGGATAACATCTAGCGAGAGGGGGGTTCTTGTGACTGTTTGTGTCGCAGTCAGTGCTATAGGAAACGCCATACCACCCCAATTTATATTCCCTAGGAAAAAGTTTCAAGATCATTTCATAAGAGATGGGCCTCCAGGAAGTATTGGTGCTGCTAACGGGTCAGGCTGGATGACAGCCGATGAGTTTTATACATTTATGAATCATTTTGTTGGTCATGTTCGCCCTTCTCAGCAAAATCCAGTACTTTTACTCCTAGATAACCATGAATCCCACTTGGCGATAAAAACTATTAATTTTGCCAAGGAAAATGGAGTTGTAATGTTGTCCTTCCCGCCACATTGCTCCCATCGACTTCAGCCCTTAGATAGGAGTGTGTACGGCCCCTTCAAAAAATATCTTTCATCTTCTCAGGATTCTTGGCTCAGAAATAACCCTGGAAAGTCAATGACGATTTATGATGTCCCATCCTTAGTCCGAGATGCATTGCCTCAAGCAATTACACCTTTAAATATTATGAAGGGGTTCAAGGTGTCTGGCATCGAACCATTCAATAGAAATATTTTTATTGATGATGAATTTCTGCCGGCTAGTGTCACAGATCAGCCATTGGGAGATGCAGAAAATTCTTCCACCGGAAACTCTCTAACTTTCCCTCAAATGTCTCTGCCCGCCAATGGGCATGTTGGTCCAGATCAGCCATCTACATCTGCTCAGCCATCCACATCTGCCCATCCATCTACATCTGCCCAGCCATCTACATCTACTTATCCATCTACATCTGCTCAGCCATCCACATCTGCTCCGCCATCTGCATCTGCTCAATCTATTGAAGGTGAAACTGAAAATCAGAAAAACCCGGAAACCGATACTCCCAAGCAGGCGGAATTTTCTCCACTTTTTGTTCGCCCGCTTCCTAAAGCAGGAGAGAGGAAACCATCTACAAGAGGGCGGAAAAAAAGAAAATCGGCAGTTCTAACGGATACTCCGGAAAAAGACGCGCTGGAAGCAGAGCAAAATAATCGTGTTTCCAAAAAGGGGAAAGAAACTATAAAACTAAAAGTCAAAAAGGTCAAAAGGAAACTGGTCGAAGAATCTGATGAGTCTGACGAAGAATGCTGTTGTTTGGTGTGTACGGAATCGTTTAGCAAAAGCAAACCAAAAGAAAAATGGGTCAAATGCACACAGTGCGAACTTTGGTCACATGAAGACTGCACAGATGGAAGATTCCCTTATATTTGTCATCACTGCGATTCAGACGGTGACTAGGTTAATAAAAACAACCTTGTTGAATGATGAAAAATAAACATCTTTGAATCCCATCTTGAAAAAGTGAAGTTTTATAATTAAATAATAAAGAACTTTAAAAAAAAAATAGTATGTTATAATTTACCCCGGTTGTTGTTACTATTTGCCCCAGGAACGGGGCAGGTTGAAACAAAAGTTAGGAAGTATTTAAATGAAGTTTGTTGTTTTATTGACAAACATTTTTGCATAACGATATTTTTCAAAGGTTCGTGAAACATGACAGAATGTAAACGATTTTTTTTATTTTTTTTTATATGTATAATTTCTGAAATATTGGCAACAAAGTAAATTTTGTTACAACCTGCACCGGTCTCCCCTATGTATGTATGTGTTAGAGGTGTCAGTTGCACTGCGACCCAATAAGGTCACTAGCGTAACTTGACATCAGGGGGCCTCGGTGCAAGATTAGCTTACAGTGACTGATTAGATTAACCCCCTCCCCCCACCGCCATTTTTGGGTGCCACGCCCAAAAAACGTTAATTTTAAGCCTTAAAAATATCTATTAATGCAACAAGTGTGTAAATTTTGACAATCACATCAATGAAAAAAGGTGCTCTACACACATATTGCTTACCACTTTACGCACTAATGCTTAAAGAAGTTTACTAGAAAAATTAGGGCTTCGCGAGACCACAAGACTAGTATTGGTCTTGTCTTGGTCTTGGTAGCAAGACCAACACCGAGATCAAGACCGAGACCGAGACTCTCGTCTTGGTTTTGGTCTTGAAAAGAAAAGTCGCGACTCAATATTTATGAAAATACGCAAATTCCTATAATCTTCTTTTAATGTCTTTTAATTGAATCAATTCATCAAATTTATTATTTTTTTCAAATTCACGCGAGAGGGTTCTTGAAAACCTTTGTCTGGCCTGAATGCTCAGGTAGGTAAGGTAGGTTTATTCTTATGGTTCAAATAAAAATTAATTTTTTTCCTCGGTACAGAATGGCAATTTTATGGTATGTTTGTCAACTTTCCTGTTCCGTTAATAAAAGTTCTAATAATTTAAGAATTGATAGTAATTTGTTCCTCTTTTAAAGCGGTATTTTTTGACATAAAACGCTCTTGCTGGTAAAAATAGCCTGGAAGAAGACCAAATGCATGGTCGAAACGTCGGCATAATTTTTTCAGAAAGAGAGTTTTATTTTTTATTTCTGAAGTCCTAAATCCATTATCTCTGGTCTGTCGTTATATGTTATGTATATTTTGAAAATTTGGTAGGTATTAATTTTTTTCAAGACTATCAAGACCAAGACCTAGACTATCAAGACCAAGACCAAGACCGCATTTATTTTTCGAGACCAAGACCAAGACTGGTCAGTCTTTGTTTCTCTATTCAAGAAGGCATGAGCTTCCCGCAATTTTCTCCTCACTCCATCTTGAGATTGGTGATTGCACAGAAGAATAATCAATGAAATGCAAGATATTTTGGGGCCCCTTGAGACAGACAAGATCGACAACCTTAGGTTGTTAGCGGAAAACGTTTTATTATAAACTTGTACTACAATTTCCAGACATTTAATAAAAAAAAAATTCCCAAATTATAACTAATTTAATAAAATAGGTACTTATAGCAAATGTGGGGCCCCTCAAGTCTCTGGGGCCGCGGTGATTTGCACCGAACTGCCATATGATAATTACGCCAGTGCCCAAGGTTGATCTATTGTACCCCTCCTTCTGCTGCTAAGTTCAGGTGTTTCCTACTCAAAACAGCCTCTCTAATCCTAGGTCCTTTAGGATTTTCAGGATATCTAGCGGTTTCAGGGCTGGAATGTCTCAAAACTGTATAAGGAGACCCAGACTCTTCATTCTTGAGCGACTAATAGCATTGAAGTTCAGTAGAAAGAAGATGGTGAGGTGTCTCTTCTCCGTCTTCTCAGAATCTGCAGGTGCTACTTTCTTCCAACCCCATTTTCTGTTGGTGTTTCTTAAGTCTGCAATGTCCCGAGAGAAACCTGGTTAGAGTCTTGAGACTTTTCTTGCTAAGGTTGACCAGCCAATTCTGATCTTTTTTGGTTGAAGTTGCTCAATAATAGATCTTTGGCCTGTAGTAGTCGTGGCTGTTCTAGCCGGTGTAAGTTTGTAAAATCTGTGTATCTTTTAGGTGACGTTTCTGAAGCTGCGTTCACTTGAGCTATTAGTTTCCTCAGTTTCCTGTGAAATACGTTTCGTTCATTTTCCTGGGATGATTTATCTGCCCTAATTTATCCACTTGTAGAGTATAATATAAACTGTAAGATAGTGCGTCTCCTACATACTTCATCATATCATCAAAAGGACTGAACTGAGCTACATGGCGTTTAGCAGTTTGGTTGATTCTTACGTAAGTGAATTAGCCTATACCTCTAGTAAAACTTCAAATTTCAATGAAGAATCCGAGGGGTAAATCATGTGATCCAATGCATTCTTATGTATGCCCTATGTATTCTTATGTATTCTCGAGTATATTCGTTCAAAAACGCGTCGTCAGTGGCGTATTAAGAAGTTTGCTGCCCCTAGGCCTTCCAATAATTGCCGCCCCTTGCTTGGCAATAATAATAACAATAATACCCTGTACCTTCTAATTATTATGGTTAATTGAACATATGAATTTCAATTTTTCTAGTTTTTTCTTTCAACTTTGAATTTTAATGCTAATTAAACAGCTAATTACAGCTAACATCTTGAAATTGATGAAGAACTTGACCGACAGGGTAGAAATGGGACAGGTCGACAGGGTAGAAATGAGACCATGTCTCAGTCGGTAGCTCAGTCGGTTAGAGCGTTCCACTGGATATGCGAGGGTCCTAAGTTCAAATCCGGGTGGACACTAGACACACCATAGAGATTTTCTAAGCCATCGGAGATACAGTTTGGTTTAAATTGCCGCCCCAGGCCTGAGCCTTGTTGGCCTAAGCGTTAATCCGGCACTGCGCGTCCTCACCACTATTTTTAAGTTGTGATTATCTGCGCAAGTCAAACAAACATCCAGAGTCCTTTGTTGTGAACTAGTGAATTCATTATTACTTATATTATCAATAATCCTAATGTTCACTACATTTTCTGTTCTACAAGTTCCACCACCTGTGTAATTGAGTCCCAAGTTTTATTATAACAATACTTTATGCTGTTAGGGTTCAAAGAAGATGCCGGCTAGAATTATTATATAACCAATTTCCTGTTCAAAAGTCGGCACTTCTATTGCAGAAACCCCAATTGTTGTAAATATAAAAACTAAGTCGAATACAGCCCATGGGAAGTACTCTTGCCGCCGAAGACAAAGCAGGCTAATTTTAGGTTTATGATTGTACAAACGTTTCGTAACATTTTAGGACCTAAATAAAATATGTTGTTAGGATAAGTTAATTTTAGGAAATTGTAAAATACCCTTCTTTAGGGAGGTCCAAACTTGCCTTCACTCTGAACAGTCGGGTTGCCTCTCAACATTCTTAACTAAGTGTCCCTGCCTCAACGAGAATCTTAATAAATGAAACATTTTTATACAATACCGAGTTTTAATAATCGAAGTACGAGATTGGAGCGAGCGGAAAACTCCAGGTACTCAACATTCATGGCATCGGTCAACTCCCGATTCCCAACACCTTATTCTTGAAACAGGGGAGCAGCGTTTCCAGGAGAACGAGTGTTCCGTCTTCGTTACTCATATTATCATTTGCATTTCATTGAGGAAGACGGAACACTCGTTCTCCTGGGAACACTGCTCCCCTGTTTCAGGAATAAGGACCCAGGAGCCCGATTCTCGTCTCCCTGATAGAACGAATGTTTTGTCCTTGTCAACGTAATCGAAAAGTAAACGAGAATGATAAAGACGAAAAACTTGTTATTTCGGGGAGCTCTACTCCCTGAGACGAGAATCCGGGCAATCCGGCCCTGAGTGGTGGCAACTTATCCCTTTTTTGGTCATTCTGAGCCCACAAACTTTCCTTGACCTATTTTCGAAAATAATAATGATATACATACATGCATATACCCAGACAGCACAAAAATTCTTAAAGACGTCTTTTTTAGGTCTGCATTACGTTTGAACGTCGAAGACCAAAAAAAGACGTAGGTATATAGAAGAAATCCATAAGATGTCGTAAGTTCACAATGTCTTCAAGACATCTCGTTAAAGACGTCTTTAGTCTTGATACCTATGTCTTGGAAAAATGTGATAAAGACGTTGGGTTATGTAACATCATAACGAAGTCTTTAATATGTCTTCAAGATGCCTTGAAAACGTGAGTAGACGTCTAAAAAACGTCTTGAATGTCGTTTGCAGACATCTTCGGGACGTTTTTAAGATGCCTACAAAAACTTCCCACAGAAAGTTATAAAATCAGTAATAAAAATGAGATATTAGTACTGAAGACGTCTTTAGCCAGACGTTGGGTTTGGTAACATACGACGTCTTCAAGACGCCCTTGAAGACATATAAGCAGACGTCTTAAATGTCATTTGTGGACATCATAGGGACGTCTTTAAGATGTCTCTGTGCTGTCTGGGTATTCACCTTAAGTGTAAGTTTCATTGGATTTTCCTGAGATGAGTTCTCTGCCCTCATTTATCCACTTGTATCTCACAGACTAAGTGATTCTTACTCATATTCTCTCCAATGTATTCACATTATGTTCCAATATTTCAGACTTTGTACTTGTAGAGGGTAGTGCGTCTTCTCTACATTCTTCGTTATATCAACAGAAGGGCTAAACTGGCATTTAGCAGTTTAGTTGATTCTATTTTTAGTCTTATTGTGAACAAATTTATGTAAGTGGATTAGTCACTCTAAGCCTCTAGCAAATCATAACGGAAATCAATTTCACTGATGAGATTTTCCAAATTATTCCTCATAGAATCACAAACCCCAAAGTAATACTTGTCTCACAAAAAGAATCTCAGATTTATCTAAGCTAAAAGGTTAAAGTTCCTACATTAGTAAGTACGAACTTTAGCAAAAACATGAATCAAAAACCCCTTATACCTATTCAACATAAACAAACCAAAAATGTAGTTCAATGCCATCAAAACGCCACTTACTACAATTATTATACAATTTCATTCAGAAATCCCAAGACGAAGCAATTACATAACGTTTTCTTAGATCCGTTTTGAACGCACCAATTCCCAAAAGTCCGGCCGCTACCAACCCCTCTTAAAACCTTAATGCAACTCGATACTTACAAGAGCTTATTATATAAAAGTACCAAATCGGCCATCGAAGATATTCAGTATCATTTAGTTGGTTGTTTAAGTAACAAATAATTTATTTATTTATTTATTGTTATAGTTTTTAGTGTTTTATTTTTGGATTATTAAAAACTAATATTGGTAAGAAAAAACTTCTTCTTCTTCTTTATATAATTCCGATTTTTTGTTAATGAAAATGTAATAATAACCCATCTTAGTACACACAGACTAAAAATGTATAAAATTTCATATTCCTTCCTTCTGTCTCCAGTCTTTAAAGAAAGTGAATCTTAGGCCTTGTGTGGGGGGTACTATATAACCGCAAGTTGGAGAGTGAAATTTTAACAGTTCATTTTCGGTTTTTGTATTGTTTTTTTGTCTCTCTTTTCGGTGCGGGCATTAGAAAAATTCGGTAAGTGGAGTAGTACCCTCAAATTTGCAACACACATAGTTTTCTGAGACAACTTATCTTTGTGTCTATTATCAATATCCTTAATTCCTATTTATTATCACATTTATAAATAATTTACAAAAACAAATTATGTGTTAAATCATCCTACCATGCAATCTCAGTTCCAGATATACATAATAAACTCTCTACTCGTACTTATTACATAAAAGGACATCAATTTGCACATCTTATAACCTCAAGCTATCTAATATAACAATGACCTCATCGATGTCGATACCTTAAATAATATTATGATCGCCGAAGAAAGTGAAACGAAAGTAAAAGTAAACGTTGGACTACTTCTTCAAGAGTTTAATGCCCACGATTAACCACCTACAGACTGGCCAAAATTGACAAAATGAGAGGGCGGTTTTTGACGATTTCTCTTATTTAAATATTAGCAATATTCACCCAAATAGAACAAATTGACTTTAATTATCTATGCTTTCTGCACTATTATAATTTAAATTAAACCAGCAAAACATACAAAACTTATCTACCATTTCACTTAACTTGAACTTTCTCATATTGTGTTTGACTCTTCAAAAATTAACATACAATGATTATGTAATTGTTTCAGAAACATGAGATCGTCACTGGCCCTTTGGGCATTCATAAGCTTTGTCTCTGTTGCACTTGCCGAGCAAAACAATTGGTCATGGAATCAACAAGAAGGCAACCAACCGCTTAACACTGATGAAACCATGCAAAACTTTGCGTTTGACTTACAGCCTGCGGCCTCAGAAAATGTCCAACAAAATGCTACCGATGTCGATAAGGTAATTTCAAGTTAACAGTACAATTTTTAAAGATTTTCATGAAATTCTTTGTACTTTTAGGTTGTAGATGAAATTATTGGGTCGCAAAGGCAAGGCAGAGCGCTAGAAGGTTACGATGAGGTCTACACTGATCCAAGTGTACAAGAAGCTCTACAAAAAGGTGACGAAGGCGAAGCTAGGAACGTTATCAAAGATAGATTGTGTTATTTGGGATTAATGCAGGTAATTGATTGTAGAACTTCATTCCTCTTCATTTTAAAACTTGTGAAAGCATTTATAAAATCCCTTCCGCTTTCAGACTTGCCCATCGAGGTTATTTTCAACCACGTGTTCTATAACAAATTAAAATATCTTCCTTCAAGGGCCTTTAGTTCTAGAATTATTAACTGCTAGAAAAACCTCAGTGGGTCTTTTGTTGCATCTTTCACTAACGTCTCCAGTATCAAAAAAATTGGATTGTTGTCTTGCATTTCAAGTTCTAGGATTCTCTAGACCCCAAATCCTATCATCATCGTCATTATCATTATCTAGCCTTTCGGCTCAACTGCTTTCGATTCACATCTTTGTTGTTTATTTACAAAGCCATTCAACGTATTCAGAAAATAACTTTCTTCTTTATAAAGTTATTGAAAACGATCAGGGTACTAGTCACCTGGAGCATTTCTTGCATTTGCATTCAATATGGTTTGTAAGTTACAATAAATTGACCATGGAAATTCAAAACCACTACAAGTTTCTTATCTATGATTATTCTCCAAGTAAATCTCCTTATTCTTTTAGTGCGATGAAGAGATCGAAGGTAAACGCCCCTACATCTCTCCAGAAGAACTCATGTACGCCCAGCCTGTAGCAATCAATCCAGTAGGTCGTCCCATTGCAACCATTCCGATAAAAGGAAATCGTGCAATCTATGGTCCACCCAGACCCCATGGTAGCAAATTCGGTCCACCACCACAAGGTGGAAAATACCCGTCTTACCAGCCCAACAAACCCCCGAGAAGAAATTATGGGCCTAGTTTTGGAAGTAGTAACACTTTAGGAGGAAGCAACGCTTTTGGAAGCAGTAACTCTTTTGGAAGTAGTAGCACTTTCGGAAGTAGTAGTACTTTCGGAGGTAGTAATACTCTGGGTGGACTGAAACCTCCACAACCTCCTCATTACGGAGGCGGCAAGCCGCCATTCTTATCTGGAGGTGAAATTCTTGCCGAAGGCGAATTCCTAGACAAACCGCCAACTGCTGAATACTTTAACAAAGTACCTGATTCTCCCTACCAATTTGAATCTCACAATGGCTACCAGAAAGACAAAAGAGTTGAAATCACTGTTAACGCTCAAGGAGGTCTTGCTACAGCCACTGCTTCTAGTCCCAATAAAGGAAGCGTAGAACATGTCCACCATCACTATCACCACAATGCTGACGGAGCAAATAAAGCCCCTACTGTTGTGGTGAATCCAATTCCACTTGCTGCTGCTGCAGTGACTTCTTTGGGCGGATCTTCTTACAACCAATTAAGTCAATCATCCAGCAATGTTTTCGGAAATACCAATGGATTTATTCCAGGCACTGGTCATTTACCACTCGGACCAACTATTGGAGGCCTTACAAGTGCCTCTTATGGAGGCCAAACATTAGCTAACTATGGATCATCTGGTAGCTTTGGTGCTGTCAAGCCTGTACAAGAAAACTTTGGACCTCAAACTTTTGATTCCGCTTCATCTGGATTAGGGAGCTTTGGATCATCTAACAATAATTTCGGATCATCAGCTGGTTACTATGGATCCAATAGCCTTTACAAAAAAGAATTGAACGTAGATTCAGTCAATAACAACTATTTGGGATCAAATTATGCTGAAAAATATCAAGGCGTTGAATCTGCAAGAGCTGAAAACTACGATTGCGTGTGTGTACCTTACGATCAATGCCCTACTCATGACGTTTTAGGACGCAAAGACGATTTATTCTTGGCTATTGATCCGAGAAACTTAAAAAGCGATATTGAGGCTGAAATTGAAAGCAACACAACTGAAACTAGGGTTATCACTGATGGAAATGGTACAATGAGTGTAGTTAGGGTTCCTAAACATGCCAATGCTACAGAAGAATCTAAAAAGATTTCAAAAAGAGAAGCGCCAGTTGAAGACAAGAAAAATGAAGATGGAGATCATAAAATTGAAGGAGTAAGTATTCTTTATTGATTACTAATAACACACTAACGTTACTAAGACTGCAGAGACTAAGACAACTAAAATAGGAGATTTTCAACAGAGGAGCTAAGTAGGTACCCACTGCCTCATTAACCCCCAAAGTATAACTTAAATAACAATATGTAACTACGGCTGTATTTTTGCAGCGCCAATACCAAAGTAGTCAATTCCAAAACCAGAACGATAACATAATGAAGAAACTGAAACCGACTTTTGGCATATCTTTCGGTTTGCCTCATCAAGGAGGTGGTGGGTACCCTTTCTCCCCTCAAGGCATTTATCCCCATCACGGAACCGTTGATGGTACTGGGATTAATTTAGGTCTAGTATCTGTCAATCCACTCGTATCAGTTCAATTCACTAAAGACGATTACGGCAATAAAGTCATTAAACCTTTCGTCAATTTGCACCTGACACCAAATAGTTATTTGGTGAATAAGTTTGAGGATTTAGTTTCCTATAAGAAAGGAGTTATATTTAATAAACACAAGCACTTTCACGTGCATAAAGGTTATCCTCCGGCGTATGGAGGTTATGATGGCCCTTATAGAGAACACCCTGGAGAATTTCATCATGGTGGTCCAGAAATAATCCATCCCCATTATGAACCAAGCCCTGAATTTATCCATCATGGACATCCTGAAATAAGTCACGAACCACCAAGTTATCATCACGGTCCTCCCGAAATTTATAACGGGCCTCCACACCATTTTCATGGACCACCCCAACACTTTCACGGACCACCTCCACCACATTTTGCTGGACCACCAGAGTATGTTCCTGAACATACAAGCTTCTTTGATAATCCTTTAAATTATGGAGGTGGCCATCATCATAACGATCATGATCTTTTCTCTGGTAGATCTCATTCCAATAACATAACGTTTACACCAGGTTCAAGTTTGTTGGAGCAATACCAACAAAAGTACATCGAAGGCGATCAAAACTACGGCAACAAAAAAATTGTTTTTGATGAGTTGTCTTCTAATAGTATAGATAAGTCAGGTTATCAAGGGTTCCGTGGAGGTAAAAGCCTGAGAATAAATAGTTTAGAGGGGGGTGAGGTTACCTTTCCAAGCAATAGAAGGAAACGAGACGTTACTGACAAAGACCAGACACTCAATTCAATTAGCGAAGCTAGAAGTACCAATAAGGTAACAACTCTTCTTTGCTGAAACTGTAAAAACATCATGAAAATTTTATTAAATTATATTTTTATAGCGTCAAGCTTACTATGGCAGACCTCAAACTTGTGGACCTCGTCACGTTTGCTGTCGTAGACCAAATAGACCTCAAGTACCAACTGTAGCCAGAAATACTTGTGGTACCAGACACTCTCAAGGTATCAACGGACGTATAAAGAACCCCGTATATGTAGATGGTGATTCTGAATTTGGTGAATATCCTTGGCAAGTGGCCATTTTGAAGAAAGACCCTAAGGAAAGCGTTTATGTTTGCGGTGGTACCTTGATTGATCCTTTACATATAATTACTGCTGCTCATTGTGTCAAACAGTAAGTAATAATAACTGTTAGATATTTTCTCCTAAATCTAATTATTTGTTTTTCTCTTAATAATAGGTATACAAATTATGATCTCAGAGTACGTTTAGGCGAATGGGATGTTAATCATGACGTAGAATTCTATCCATACATCGAACGCGACGTTTCCGCTGTTACAGTCCATCCGGAATTCTACGCTGGAACATTGGCAAACGACATTGCCATCCTAAGAATAAACACTCCCGTTGAATTTGCGAAATATCCTCACATTTCACCAGCATGCCTACCCCATCCGCAAGACGACTACAGTGGTTCCAGATGTTGGACTACAGGATGGGGCAAAGACGCTTTCGGAGATTTTGGAAAGTACCAAAATATCCTCAAGGAAGTCGACGTGCCGGTTATCAATTACGGACAATGCCAGAGGCAATTGCAAAACACCCGATTAGGATACGAATTTAAACTTCATCCAGGAATGGTGTGTGCCGGAGGTGAGGAGGGCAAAGACGCTTGCAAAGGTGACGGCGGTGGCCCTATGGTGTGCGAAAGAGGCGGTACCTGGCAATTAGTGGGAGTGGTGAGCTGGGGAATAGGGTGCGGTCAAGTGGGTGTGCCCGGAGTATACGTCAAAGTCGCTCATTATTTGGATTGGATAAGGCAAATCACACAAAGATATTGAATTAATGTGATAATATAGTTATTTATTTTGTTAGTTATTAATTTATTTGCTAATAATACGCTGTAAATATTTATATAAGCTTTTTGTTTAAGTTATTGTTTTTTGTATTTTCAATCAAAAAAATAAAATCCTCATTAAAAATTGTATGTATAATTTTATTTCATCACAAACAATAAATAAGTAACTTTAGGGAAACGATAATAACTGTCCACAGCCCTAAAGGCTTTCAATACTCAAATACCAAAAAAAATACTTACAAGTTTAGACAAACTTTGCTCCATGATGTTGTGACACAACTTCTTTCATGCCAAAATACCATCTACCGATTTTAGTTCTTTCCAATAAGTCTTTGAAAGTTGTACATCCTTCTATGCTGTTCAGTATTCCATACACAGCCAAATCTGCCAAATTCGGATCTTTTCCTCCTAGGAATGGGGTGCCTTTTTTGTTGACTTCTCTTACCCAACTTGTACATTCATCATAAAGACTTTGTCTGACGTCCTCTTTTAAATTGTGGCGTTTTTTAAGTCTTTTGCCTATAAGGTACATGGCTGAGGCTCCTACGTATATTATAAGATTTCTTTCCCAGGTGGGAAAATTAGCTTCCCATTCACCAACTTCAGAAAACCAATTGAAAGCTTGCAGTGCCTCTTCTCTGGTCCTATAAACGTTTGGAGAAAGGGTGTGGACCAGGACACTGTCTGCCCATTGTCTCCATTTTCTTTCTTCATTTAAAATTTTGTCATCTTGTTCATTGTATTGCCTATTACTGAACATTAGGAAATACTTATTCATTATTTCATTTTTCTTTGAGCCGTCGTCATCATAAAAGGTTATAAAAGGAAAACATTTTACAATATCAGGTAAGGACTTATCTGAGTCCTTTAAATAAGTTGCTAGAGCTGATATTATCATGGTACTATCATTGAGAGGCTAAAAGATATATTTATATCATTATTGGAAAAATGTTGATAATATACTTATAATCATTACCTGATAACCATCATCAGTTTTTACAACTAAAATGGGCACTTTTCTATACTCTGACCATTTGATTGATTGTCTTAGCACTGGATCAACCTCAACAACATCATAAGAAATACCGTAATAGTCTAGAAAGGCCCTAACTTTACAGCAAAAAGGACATGTTTGGTATTGAAATAAAACTAGTTTTAGATTACTTCTGTCTTCAGGGTATTTCATCTGAAATGTAAAGAATTTTGATTTTAATCACAAAAAGTTAATAACTTAGAATGGGATGATTTTGTAGGAATGAAAATCAATGGTGAATTAACACCTCAGATTTTGTATTCTAAACTGCATAGCATTGCTAATTAAGAAGTTTCAATAATTTTTAAAGTAGGTAGTTTTGAAGCCTTTGTGTGGTAATGTATCTTAGGTATAATTTAATGGGCGATTTTCTAGCTCATGTTTATGTGAAACTTGCACATAAATGTATATTTCTAAATCCCCTGTGAATAAACAGCTTAAGACTGAGTTCTTTTTTATGTTTTACCAAAAATTTCTAAATTCGTGCGAAATATTATAATTGATCTGAAATAGGTAAGTCCAAAAATAACTCGGTACAATGTATTATGCATTTCTAACAATAAATGCAACTTTTGCTATCTTTAATGGAGAATTTACTACCTTCAAAAAAAGCATATGCTCTATAGTAGAAGTATTTTCTTACTCATGGGAACTGAATCATTTGCTTTTACATCAACCTTCTACTAGAAGCAAATGCTTTTACTTCACAGCATCTGCTTGTAGCAAATGCTTTTACTTCACCTCCATCTCTTTTTGCTGCATTAAAGCTGAATATGTTTATCTCAAAAAACTCAAGCAAAAGCATTTGCTTCTATTTTATTCATATGAGCCATCGTATGTATTTTTAACAATAAATCAAGATTTTGCTATTATTATTAGTTTGGTCACTGTGATCATTAGAAGTACTTTGCCCAAGTGATCTTTGCAGATTTTAATCATTTTTGCATGCATCAACGTAAGAAAAAGCATCCAAATTAGGTTTGAAGCTTCAAATCAACTTAAAATTAACTTTCTCACAAAGAGGAAACTTCAATACATAAATCTTGAAAGTTTCAAGTCACTGTGATCTTTTGAAGTATTTTGCACAAGTGATTTTTGCAGATTTTAATCATCTTTGTATGCATTAAAGTGAGAAAAAGCTTCTTATTTTAGTTTGGAGCTTCAAATTAACTTTTTCCCAAAGACGAAACTTCAATTCATAAATCCTGAAAGTTTCAAGTCACTGTGACCATTGGAAGTATTTTGCATAAGTGATTTTTGCAGATTTCAATCATTTTTGCATGCATTAAAGTGAGAAAAAGCTTCTAAAATTAGTTTGGAGCTTCAAATCAACTTTTCCACAAAAAGGAAACGTCAATTCATAAATCCTGAAAGTTTCAAGTCACTGATCATTTGAAGTATTTTGCGCAAGTGATCTTTGCAGATTTCAATCATTTTTGCATGCATTAACGTGAGAAACATTTTCTGAAAATATTGCAGGCAATATCTCGCAGTCGTAAGAAAATCTCACATTCTCAATAGACAGTCGACCCCTCGGTCACCCCAATCGCAGGCAATCCATTCCGCAATCTCGCAATCGCTTTCGCAGTCCCGCAATCGCCTTCGCAGTCTTATACAAACAAAGCAATGGGTCCGGATGGCATTCCCGCAATAGTACTCAAAAATTGCGCCAACGAATTCACCCCAACTTTCGCAAAATTATTCAATTTGTCTTACAGGCAAGGAGTATATCCATCATCATGGAAGTCTGCCGCAGTACAACCCATTCCAAAGAAAGGAAAAAAGACAGATCCGTTAAACTATAGACCAATTGCTCTACTTCCGGTGATATCAAAAGTAATGGAAAGAGTTGTGAACAATCACCTAACCAAGTACTTGGAAAAGTACAAAATTATCAACGATAAGCAATACGGATTTCGAAAATATAGGTCAACTGGCGATTTACTTACATACGTCACTCACTTATGGCAAAAAGCGATTGAGTTGCGGGGTGAAACAAGAACAATTGCTTTAGATATATCTAAAGCATTCGACAAAGTTTGGCATGAAAATCTGCTCAACAAGCTCAAAGCAATGGGATTATCGCCGAAACTTTGCACTTGGTTTGAAAGTTACCTAAAGGACAGATCCATTTATGTTGCACTGGATGGCCAGAACTCCAACTCTTACCAAATAAATGCTGGTGTGCCACAGGGAGAAATCCTTTCGCCAACTCTTTTTCTGATTTACATAAATGACCTCATAGATAAAACAGTAAATCCACTTTATTGCTTTGCAGACGATGGCAATGTAGTCTCCTCACTCATACCACCCACAGGTCTTTCCGCACGTGAATTCCATCATCTTAGACTAACTCAAATATCGCAGATAAATAACGATCTGGAGATAATAGAGGACTGGGGTAACAAAAACCTTGTACAGTTCAACGCACAGAAAACCCAAGCAGCTCTGTTTTCAAAAAAGACCAGCACCAGTGAGCCAAACATCATGCTATCTGGAAGTGCTGTCACATTACAGAGTCAGTTAAACATCTTGGGGGTTACTGCAGAGACCAACATGTCTTGGCACAGTCACGTGGCAGATATTGCTAAAAGGGCGTCCCAAAAGCTGGGGGTGCTATTTCGTACAAGACATCTGTACACACCAAGCCAATTGCTGACACTACAAAGCCCAGATTCGACCAACTATGGAGTACTGCTCACATATATGGAGTGCAGCACCCAAACATACCTTAATGCTTTTGAACACCGTGCAAAAACGAGCTATCAAGCTGATCAATGACCCCGCACTTACTCGTAACTTGGATGGTCTCGAACATCGCAGATCTGTGGGCGATTTATCTCTCTTCTACAGGTACTATCACGGAAAATGCTCTGAAGAGTTGGCACGTATGATTCCACCGAGAGTAGCGCCTACCAGGCGAACCCGTCAAACAGACGGTAACCATGAATTTACTGTCAAACTAGAGGCACCAAGAACCTCATTATATCAGAATTCATATCTCTGGAGAACAGCATCGCTGTGGAATAAACTCCCTGCGACGGTTTTCCCTGCAGGTTACAACCTGAACCGTTTCAAGACCAACATACACCGACATTTCCGCGCACTTGCCGCTTCTCGAGCGTGGTAGGACATTTCCTTGCGAGTGTGCATATCCGTAAAAAAAAAAAAAAAGTCTCATAATCGCGCCCACAGTCAGGAAAATCCCATGAAAGGTCGTGTATTTAATGATTGTGGCAGTCGCGGAAATCACTTTGGCAATCTCACAATCTTGCGACAATTGCGGCAATCATCTACATTCTTAGGTAGTGGGAGAAACTAGGAGCTTATTATCTATCCACAATCCGATGTCCACTCCAAAGGTAAAGGTAAAATTTTTCACCTTTCAGTGCTATTTGATAGGGAAAAGTGATAAATTTACCTTTACCTTTGGACTACGGATTGTGAATAGGATATACGCTGGTGCCTTTTTATCTGGTTGGAATGTTTAATAGCGTCTATCACAATTTTTATGTTGCATTACGTGTTGTGTAAAAGATTCCCCAACTTTTACACGACATGTAGTGGTAGATAGGTATAAGTAAAATGCGTTTTCTCAATTTTCGTATTATAAAGAAATAAGAAACATACTTAAGTTAAAGTGAAACAATTTTTTAAAAATGAAATCTCATTTGGTTTTGAAAGATTCTGAACAACTTTACTTGAACTATTATTGCCCCTTGCCAATAGATTTATTTGAGGAAGTTCAAGAAGATCCTAGTGATAGTAATGATAGTGTGACTATACTATAGTTGGAAACAATTCAGAAGGCACTGAAATTCACATTGAAGATTCAGCAGTCAGAGATGAGTTGAATTTATTTGAAAACTTTGACATTTTAAGCAGGGATCGACCGATGATACCGATACGATATGGCTTTATAGAAGGCCGATACCGATATAAGGCCGATACGGATTCTCGCACCTTTTCCTTTAGTTTGAATGTTTTATTTGTTTTCTCGCACCTTTTCCTTTAGTTTGAATGTTTTATTTATTTGTTTTCTTCTAGTTTTAATATTGTTTGTTCGAGTTCAGATAAGCAGAAAGTTTAGTTTTTTTTTTTAAATAAATAAATAATTTTGAATTTGAGTTTAGATACGCAGAATGTTAAGTTTTTTTTATATATAAATACCTAATTAATTTAAAATAAATTTATGAAAAACAATTTCCAATATTTACTTTCTTCTTAGTCACTCCCATATGTACGAACCACAATTATTAGCTCTTTTAAGCTTCAAAAAAAAACCTTAGTGATGATTACTGATCTTTTAAAATATGATTTGTATCGGTCTAAAGTTATCGGTCAATGAAGGGCCGATATACCGATACCCCGATATACCTGAAATAGGCCGATACACCGATATACCGATATGCCATATCGGTATCGGTCGATCCCTGATTTTAAGTATCAAGGACTATAGTGATAAGACGTTGAAAAAGACCAATAATAATACTAGATTGAATATCACTGTTAACACCGAGGTTAACACAAGGAAAATGCTTGTTCGAAAGTCCACTGTCTGTTAGTTATTTTTTTAAAAAAATTAAAATTTTCATCTGATAGGTGATTCGTCGCAGAGGGATGACAACCTCCTATGGGAAACTGAGAGAAAAAGGTCTATAAACCTAGCAGTCCCAAGGTGGAAAAAAACTTCGGGAACTATATAATAATTAGGTGCTTTTTAGGTGCTAATTAGGGCCTCTAATTAAAAATTAGGTGCTCCTTTAGTTTTTGAGAAAAACAAAAAAAACTAAGGGACTACTAGGTTTATAAACGCTAGCAGTCCCCTATAGTAAAAAATATTTTTTCGATTTTTTTCTTTGTATCAGAATTAGGTGCTTTTTAGGTGCTCTTAAATAGTCAAAGAAAAAATAGAATTGATTAATTATTAACCGAGTTACAGATTTTTTTTTTAATTATTAGGGGACTGCTGGCTTTGCGTTTACATGTTGGTGTGTCAGAATGGAAAAAAACTTCGGGATCTATATAATAATTAGGTGCTTTTCAGGTGCTAATTAGGGCCTCTAATTAAAAATTAGGTGCTCCTTTAGTTTTTGATTTCCTCAAACCCCCCAAACGAAAAATTTGAAAAAATATTTTTTACTTTAGGGGGC